ACTCCTAACACTCTTAACAGAAGTTCGTTATTAATGAAAAGCCACGCAGAACAGATGCGCCTTTGGCAAAGAGTAAGCTATTTTTCACTTCCCCCGGTAGCTATCTTTAGTACTTTGCACACTTGGAAACTAGGAATGTGCATATGGATTTATAGTCAGGCAACACGCAATTATCTAATGGGAGTTATGGGGCCAGGGGGGTGGGGGGAGCCTTGGAAATCAATGCAAATGAAATCCTAAGGCATGACCGCATCAATATAGGCATTGAGGTCTGACAAAGGCCTTATGATCCCTGAAATGTTCATGGCCTGGACATTCCCCACCAGTGGCTATTTCCATCTCAGTATAGAAAGGAATCAATAGAAAGCTAAAAACTTCCCAACTCATGGCAGTTAAATTATGGCATAGCAGGAATTATCTGGAATTAACTCTTCTGTGATGGGGTAAATACAGACTAAAAAGAGAGAGATGTTTTTGATGGGGTTTCAAGAGGAGTTTAAAACACACACACACACACACACACACACACACACCAGAGGGAGGGTGAAAGTCAGGGAAGGAGCAGCTAGAGAGTCATATATGTTAGGTTTATGATCCAGTTCCAGCAAACTTCTGCGGTAGCAGTGGCTGGGGGCAGATCTGAGTATCATGACTCTGTGAGCAGAGGTGTCTGCAGACTCAACTAGCAAAATCACACAGGAAATGATTCTTAAAAAAACGTTCTTCATTCGTTTTAGCCATCGTCGTCTGTGACCCTGAGCACAAAGAGGTGTCACCCTTTCAAGTTTCTGGAAGATGGCGGCTCAAGTAGAAGGAGCATGGATTTATTTCCCAACTGTCTATAGAAAGACCAATTGGTAAGAAGTTAATCATGAAAATGCATACACAGCATCTCAAATCTCTGTGTGCACACATGGGTGTAATTATAGCCTCTGCACAAATCAGTGTGCCAGCTCCATCAAGGAAGGGCCTTTCTTCTTCACTTTTGTAACTTGAACAACTAACACTATGCTGCTATAAAGCTAGGGCTACATAAACATGAACACACACAGAAATCCCAAGAATAAAGCTCACAACCCTGAAGGAAAACTCACATCATTCTGACAGTTTATAGCTATGTGATGGCCTAGACCTGCTGAAAGCAATCCAACAAACCCATACTGAATAATGCTGAGTGAGCATTCACTTTTTCTCTAAGCCTGACAAGCCTGTCTTCTTCCATCGAAGTGTGTGAAGCTTTCCTGTAGTCCTGTTTCTTTCTTTGAATGGACAGAGAATTAACCTCTCCTTGACTCTGATGCTATTATCAGGGCAGTACATAGTGGGGCTGATACTAAAGGACCCACTATGAACAAATGGATCTTTGTTTTCTCGCCCCAGTTGGGTCTGAATTACATCTGTCCTGATTTATTGTATTTATTCTTCACGATTCTTTAGGCTCATGATTTACGTTTATATTATGTTAAGACTTCAGGATTTGGGGTAAGAAATGCCAAGGGCACATTGAAAAGCGTGGACACGGTTCTTTCGATTACCTCATGGTCCCAGGACACAAGGCTAGCTAGCCTATGACACATTTATTATTATAAATGGTAATGTCTCAGTCTCTTTTACACTAAAGCAAACCAGGCAAGGCTTTCAAATCCATAACCTTTTAGCTGCAATGGAAATGGGGTCCTTGTTTCAGGAAATGAGGGACCAGAAGGCAATGGGAAGCTTGTATGTCCTTCCGATGGGCTGCCATTTCTTGCTTAGTACAAAGGGAGGTTAAGATTCAATCTGTAGCTTTAAGACATAAACCATGTTCTTAGAGCAGCCAGGAAAGATGTGCGATCAAACACAACTTTGTTTAAAAAACATTTCAATTCAAGCTGGAGACTGGGCTAGCTGCTCATTGGAGAGACAAAGAATACAACACAGTTGCTCAAAAATCCTCCTATTTCCAAGGAGGCTGGTGACCCCCAAGGAGAGGGTTAGAAGTTGGTTTGTAAATCTGGCTCCACGAAAACACAGAAGAGAAGGCAATAACTATGCTTTAGGAGGTTAAGGCAAGTTTTATCAAGGAAGCAGAAAGTTTTACAAAGGATGTCACCTTGAAGGATGTATAGATTTCCACCAGGAAAAACTTGGAAGACACATTCTGGAGAAAAGAAAATTGCATGAGTGAAAGGTCAGAAGTATGAAAGCATAAGGTTTGTGTGGTAATGCATGTAGGATGCAATGGGGTTGGAATTGAAGTACTGGGTGTGGAGATGGAAGATGAGATCAGAGGAAAATGATTGAAGCCAGAACACTTAGGGCCTTGAGTGTGCCAAGGAGCTTGGAATTTATCTTATGGAAGTGGTATGCTGGACTGGGAATGTGGCTTAGTGGTAAGAGTGCTTGCCTAGCATACATGAAGCACTGGGTTCAATTCCTCAGTACCTCTATAAACATAAAAAGCCAGAAGTGGCACTGTGGCTGGCTCAAGCCTTGAGATCACAAGCCTTGAGCAAAAAAGCTCAGGGACAGTGTCCAGGCCCTGAGTTCACGCTTTAGGATAGGCTTGGGAAAACAAAACAATATAAATAATAAAAGGCATCCTAACTGAAGAGGAAGGAAGTCAAGTGATCTGTTTCTGCAGATGACATGACCTTATGTGTAGAAAATGCTCAGATTATACATGTGAATGCACATGGACACAATGTCAATAAATACGTTCAGCAGTTACTGATGCAAAGCCGATACCACGGAAACAATCACATCATATACTACCAATGAGCAATCTAAAAAAGACATTAAAAAACAATTCCATTTATCATCACATCAAAAGGAATTTAAGAAGGCAAAGCTTAAACACTGAAAGCTAAAACGTTGCAAGAAAAAAAACTTTAAGACAAATACAGACTCGCAGACAATCAAATTTTGCAAAACTCAGGTGACAATGCTACCCACATCTATCTCTATATTTGATGCGATTTCTATTGAAATCTCACAGATTCTTTTTTGCAGAAATAGAAAAACCAAGTTTAAAATTTATCTGGAACCTGAAGGGATCCCAAGTAGCTTAAAACAATCTTTAAAGAAAAAAAAATGAAATTGAAAGTCTACCCACATGGGGAGCTGGGGCTACTTCTCCCTCTGTTTCCATTTTTCCCTGTTTTATCTTGTTATAGTAAAATAAATCCTTGCTAAAACTTCCACCTTGTGAGAATCTCCTTTTTGGTGAGACATCTTGAAATTCTTTTCACATGTGGATCTCGGGTTCAGAATTCTACAAGGAAACTGGGACACGGTAGGAACAGTGTCAGAAGGCTCGTGGGCTAGCTAGCCAGGAGTGAGCTCTCATGAGCTTCCATGTTCATATGAAACTAAAGAGGTCAGACACCTACACCTGTGGCCCACTAGAGGACCTGAAATTTCTCTGCAAGAAAAGAAAGGAATCACTCTGATGAACCCACAAAGATTCTCCTGACCTGTGCATTTGGGGCAATATTTTCCACAATCATTTGTTGTCTAGTGGTTAGCAAGTCATTTGGAGAAGTGTGTGTGTGTGTGTGTGTGTGTGTGTTTGTGTGTGTTGGTCCTGGGGCTTGAACTCAGCACATGGGTGCCATCTCTGAGCTGTTTTATTCAAGGCTAGTGCTCTACCACTTGAGCCACAGCCCCACTTCCAGCTTTTTGGTGGTTAACTGGAGACCGAACAGGTTATCAGTAAGTAGATGAGTAAGGTTGGGTCCAGGTATTACATAATATATACACATTAACTCAAAACAAGCCAAAAACCTAAGTTTAAGAGCTAAAATCTATAAAACTATCGGTAGAAAACATAAACTGGCATAGCCATCATACTAGTCTTAGCAATGATTTCTTAGATAGCAGAAACACAGGCAACAAAGAAAGAAAAAAATGGTTAAGGTGGATCTCAAAATTAAAACCTTTTCTGTGTCAAAGATATCAAGAGGGTAAAAGTGCAAACAACCCACAGAATGGCAGAAAATATTTACAAGTTGTCTATGTAGTATCAGTATATAAAGGATGTAAAGAACTCCTACAATCCAACAATAATAAAACTCCATGCATAACTCCATAGACGAATGTTCGTAGCAGAATTGTTTCCAATAGCTAACAGGTAGAAGTAACTCAGTGTCCACCAACAGATGAACAAATAAAATGTAGTGTATCCATACAATGAAATAGTGTCTGTCCTTGCAAATAAAGTTCTGAGTACTGATGGCTCATAGCTTGAATCCTATCTCCTTAAGAGGCAAATATCTGAGGATCTTGGTTTGAAGCCAACTCAAGCACACAAGACTCTGATTTCCAATTAAACCAACAAAAAGCCTGAAGTGGAGCTGTGGCTCAAATGGTGGAGCAGCAGCCTTGAGTGAAACAGCCAAACATGGGCAAGAATCCCTGAGTTCCCCAGGACCATTGCATACACATGCGTGCACGTGCACGCACATACACACATACCCACAAACATAAATACAAGTTCCGATACATAGTGTCACATGTATGAATCACGAAAACATGCAGGCTGGAACAAACCAGACACAGAGGGCCAAGTGCTGAATCTACTTGTGTAAGGAACTGAGAGATTCATGGCGATTCACGGAGCCAGCAAGTACAACTGTGGTTGCCGGGGTTGGTGGAAGGAAACAAAGGGAGCCATCTGTTAGTGGACACAGAATTTCTGTGCACCATTCTGGAAAACTTCTAGAAGTGGATTATGGTAGCTGCTTGCAAATACATAATCTTTACAGCAATGCCTATGTCTTCCATGAAACTTAATGAAACACTGTAAGATGGCTAATATGGTAACGGATTTTTGTTTTCTTTTGTAGACTTCATTGCAATAAAGGACAAAATGTTCAGACTGAACAGCATAATTAGGATAGAGGTGGACCCCAGGAAGGTAAAGGAACCTATAGGAAGAGATGTCTCTTGCTGGGAGGACGCAAGAAATGACGCCGCAGGCTGCCCCGACCAGCACAGGTGTTCGGAAGCAGCAAACTCACATTGCATGTGGAGGAACCATCGAGTGTTGGGTAGGAACCATCGGGCCAGTCGGCGGGGTCCAGGGCAGCCGACTGCCGATGCTGGGCCTCATACTCCTTGAGCTGCAACAAGAATAGAATTGGAAGACTGAAATGGAAATAGTAGCCACTCTTGAGAGACTCTTATCTCCAATTAACTACCAAAAAATCAGAAGTGGAGCTGTGGCTCAACTTGGTTGAGCAACTAGCCTTGAGCAAAAAAAGCTCAGGGCCAGTGCCCAGGCCCTGAGTTCAAACCCCAGGACCAAGCACACTATCTACTCCCCTGCATAAAATTACTTTAGAGGCTGGGATATGTATGGAGTTCCGTGATAAAGAGATCGTAGTATCTCCCAAAAAAGAGACAACAACAACACAAAAACCTTCAGAATGATATTCCTATACCCTCTAAGGTCCTCATTTTTAGAGGCACTCTGAGTTGAAGCCCAGGGCCTTGTGCTTGCTAGACAGGCACTCTACCACTTGAACCACTCCATCCCAAACACCGCTAAAGGCAAGGAAGCCATATGCTGGCATAGGAAAGCCAGATGCCTGCACGCTTACCCTGGCGAGGGCCTCCTCAATAGTGATCATCTTCTCCTTGACCATCATCATCAGCTGAATCCGCTCCTCATCGCTCATGGTAATCTCACTGGCAACATAACCCACGTCTTCTCCTGGAGAGCCGGGACACAGAACAGTAGAAATGAACATGAGAGAGGCAACAGACGGCAGGCCCCAGACACCCATCCTCCTGGGCTGAGGGACAGACATGTCCCCTGGGTATTGTGTCACAGATAGAGTGAGAGGAAGCAGGAACACACCGTGAGCACATCCATTTGGGAAAAGAGCAAATGGAAAAGAGAAAATCCTTCCAAATATCCAGAACTTCTAAGATGGAGCACCTAGGCAGGAGGTTGACAGGGGGTTCCTTAGATCGGGCAGTGCACAGACCTCCTTTAAACACCCAACGACACCCGACAGGCATTCAGAGGCTCCTCTGGCTGAGAGTTCTCTGTATCATCCAATCGGAATAGGAATGAGGACGTATTTGCAGAATGGGAGAGAAGCTCGCTGGGATGGGAGGCGGCAGGTCACAGAGCTAACTCTGAGGCCAGGAACAGCTCTGCATGACCACCGAGCTGGCTGGCAGGTGTCCCTCACAGGCTGGACGTGAAATGTCAAATCACAGGGTTGCGAGGAGATGAGCTTATTGGGAGAAAGACAGCCCAGATATTTCAATCTGGAAGTAGGGTTGGGGCAAAGGAAGGGGTGACATGATCCAAAATGAAATGTCCTCATTACTTGACTTATCTAACTGTAATCCCTTCGTAGTTCACCTTTATAAGAGCAATTTAAATAAATAAATAAATACAGGAAGTAGTGTTGGCAAAGTCAGCTTCCAGGACAGAAGGTTGCACGGAGGAAAACAAGTCCCACCAGGTTCCTTCTAAACCTTCGTAAATAAAAACAACTACAGTTCTACCAACCCACAGATTTCTGCTCTTCCCTTCCTCCCTCCCTCCCTCCCTCTCCACAACCCTCTGACTTCATTAGAATCTAAGGTTTATTGTGAACCATACATGATCCAGGTTCTGTACAACTGGAAAAACTGGGAGTGTTTCAGAGCAGCTCCTTGAAATGAGAACTAAGGAAAGTAAGCATGCTTGGGTGTTTCCTGGGAACACAGGTATATGGGGGGGGGGATGTTGAGATGTCTGATGTCCATGTCCACGCCCACTTTTACCATTGTTGGGGGGATTAGGGAGGGATTCTGAGCAGGAAAACAAGCAGTGCTGTGGGTGAGCCATAAAGTATTTTCATTTATTGATAACCTTACTCAGCATGCCTGGAATGTGGATGTGGATTTGTGCTGGTTTCCTCTGTGAATATGGAGGAAACATAAATTATATAACCAGGCTCCAAGGGTGACTTAGTTACTTCCGATCTGAACAGTAACCAAAGACACAGCCCAGAGAAGGGCAGAATTCCTTCACAGAGCAGCCTGGGCTGCGCTGTCCATGCCCCCTAAAACACCATCAAAAGTTCAGAAGAACATAAAGGCTCCAAGTGAGGGTATGGGCAGGTGAATTAAGGAATGCCAAGACTTTGAGGTTGGACCATGGTGACTTGGAAGAGTAAAGCTGGCCAGCCACTGGTGGCTCACACCTGTAATCCTAGCTACTCAAGGGGCTGAGATCTGAGATCTCCTTGAACCAGCCAAAAGCCAGAGCCAGAGGTGTAACTCAAGTGAGAGAGTGCTAGTCTAGAGTGGAAGAGAAAAGCAAGGGTACAAAGCCCTGAGTTCAAGCCCCAGTAGCTCCCCCACAAAAAATAAAAATAAGAGTGAAGATGTTTTTGCAGTTGATGTGTCTGGGAATTACTAAAACCTTGGCCTCTGCTGTCAGATCTATGAGAAGAAAGAAGTGCTAACTTGCCATTTTGTTTTTGGTTTAAACAAATTACTGGAATAAAGTCTTGGCGATGGATGTCAGCAACGTCGAGCATGCTCACAGATGAGCCTGCTCAGTATTACAGAGCTCAGAGGAGTCCTGTCAGGCTGCACTGTCACAGTACCTTTTGAAGTCTGTCTCATTATTCCTTTTTGGTTCTTTCGGAAGTTCTGCCAGAAATACTTATTTTTCTTCTTCCAATCTGCTTTTCCTTTAAATTAAAAAAAAAAAAAGCCATAAATTCATTGATAACAAAAGTGGCCTCTATTTTTTTTTAAATCACTGCAAAGCTTGAAAGAATATTTCAATTTCATAAAAAGACAGTTTTCTTTTCTTTCTATTTTTAGTTTGGGAAAGGCTGGAGAAGGCCCATTAAAAGGAATACACATTAGCTAGTAGTCAAAATTGGTGTGGTCATGCTCAGAAGAGAAATAAAGAAGAGTCGGCAGGGCGGGTGTTTTTAGCTTCTCTTTGATGTTTGTTTAGCCAGGGTGCCTCATTCTGCCTGGCCTTGTGGTCTAACTTCTCCCTTTTGTCTTAGCCACAATTATTTCCATTCTGCCACAGATCAGATTCTTCGAGAAGTTCCCTTTGTTTTGTTGTCATTCTCCTGGTTGAGACGGTGGTTTGTTTCTATTTTGCCAGATTTAATGAAGACAACAGAATGGTTGTTTTGCCCTGTGCTTACTGCTCAAGAGCTGGTTTGGGGAGGAGAGGTCTAACGGTGGCATAATGTGGGCATGATTCCTATTTCATTGGCATTCTAGCTAGCGACACCTGGTGATCCCACAGACTCACCGGGATGCACCGCCAGGAATACCAGAGCCTGTGACATCACTCAACTCACTTTCCCTCTCCTCTCCCACCCTCCCCTGGCTGTGCTGGGTGACTTGCAAGTGGAAAGCAACTCCTTGCCTTGGGTAAGATTCTTGGTATACAGTAGTGTCCTGATCATCAATAATATGTACTACTTTCTCCAAAGCAAACAGAAAGTGGAGAGCAATCCTTGTTCTCCCAGGATAAAAGCAGTGGCAGCAGTGGCAGCTGCCATTGTGCTGATGTGGCAGGTCTGTCACCATTTGGTGGCTGTCTGCTTGCTCTGTGGCCTTGGTAAACAGATTCTGGCACAGTGGTGGCGTTTCCACAGTCTAGACCACTGGTGCCAAGCAACCGTGATGGAGCAGACATGTGGGAGCCCTGTCCCCGGGGCCTGCAGGGTAGCGAGGTGTCATCTGTCAAAACAGGGGGGCCTGTGACTCAGAGCTGATGACCTTGAGAGCCAGGGATGAGACTCCTGCCCGAGACTGCCTATACTCTTCCTTCTGGAAGTAGTCTCACCGTGTACTGGCCTGTGGCTACACACTGAAGCAGATGTCGGCCACCAAAGGTTCAAGCCTGACTTCCCTTGGGTAGTTTGGGAAGACAGTCCAGTTATTTGTTTGTTTCTCTCCTTTACCCATTTCCATGCTTTCAAAATAACGATCACAACTAACATGTACTCTGCATTTATATCCCAGCACTTTGACATTTAATGGAAGATCTCACTTAGATTACTTTTGGGGGGTAGGAATACTGGGGTTGGGGAGTACAGGTCTTGATAGGTAGCCCAGATTAGCCCTGAACTCAATCCTTCTGAATGCTGGGGTTACAGGGAGGTACTACCACTCCACAAAAGGTACTTAAATAACCTATTATCATTCTCACTTAGGAGAGTAGGAAACCAGAGCATGGAGAAGCCAATGGCTTGCACAAGGCCCTGGTGACTCAGTTGGAAGAGTTAGGGTTCCAATCATGGCTGCCTGCTTTGAGCACCTACACTCGTATCCATCTGACCTTTACTGTATCATGAGCTCATTTTTATAATCGAGGATATATCAAATATATGCTGCCTTAAATGCAAACTCCCTGACCTAAAAATTCCAAATTATAGGCTATACCCAAAGGTCATGATCAGGAAGAGAGACTCTGGATTTTGATGGTAGTCTCATTTGTTTGACATTGAGGAAAAATAAAGAAACAACTTAAGTGCAAAGAAGACACTGGTTAATTCAAAGATGGTATATCCAGTCGAGGAGAAACCTAAACCTTTTACTGTAAAGAATATTCAGCCCTAGGGGAAGGAAATCATAATATAATACATTCAATTTTTTAAAATTATGAAACAGTATTTGTTTAAAAAATACTATGCAATGGTGAAAGGGAAGAAAAATACGTACATCAAAAGCTTAGCAATGTTATTTCTGGTTAATGGGTTCTTGGTGATTTCTGTACTTTTATGTATATATTTCCTATAAAATATGTAGAGAGAACGTGATCACACAGGTAAGTAAGCACAGTGGTACTGACCTACAGAGCCGTCTTCTGAGATGGACTTATGGAGAGGATGCCTAGAAAAGAGAGAGAAATTAGATGAGCCAGGGGAACTTTTCTTTTGTGTGTGGGGCTGAAAGTTAATAGTCTAATCCAGCACCAAATACACTTAATAAAGGCCAAGGAATTATTACAGAACCTTTATTCCAAGACTTGGGTGTCCGGAAGTGGCGCTGTAGCTCAAGTGGTAGAGCGCTCACCTTGAGCTGAAGAGCTGAGGGACAGCGCCCAGGCCCAGAGTTCAAGCCCCACGACCGACAAAAAAAAATCTATTCCAAGACTTGGGTGTCCTTTGTCAACATTTATAAAGGACTTACTCTCAAGTAGCATCTGTATTAAATGAAGAGAATAAATAACAGTCGATGACCACCGAAGTAGCTTCCATTTATTTCTATGAACTATCAATCACAAAGGACAAATCAGGGAACTGTCTCTTAAGTGGCCAGGAGAAGGCATGTAACAACCACCGTGGCCACTGGGGGAGCCAGAGGGTTACATGGTTGGGATGGAAAAGCTGGATCAGGAGCAAAGGTGGGTTGGAATGCAGGCAACAGGAGGTCGGATGCCCAAGCCAAGAGGCCACCAGGACAGAGATCCTGAAGTTGATGGGTGCCAACAAGTGGCAAGTGCCATATCCACCTTGCCAGCTCCTCCAAGGCTCCAAGGCAAGCCAAACACCTGCCTTGTTAGGGAAGCGCTCCACGGTTTAAAGTGACCGTAAATGGGTCTGAGTTAGCCGACACATGTCTGGACACCAGATTTCAGCCAGCACCCTACTTTGCACCCTGGCTGCCACTTTGTGGTGACTGGGATGCGGTGAACCAAGAGAACCTGGAAAGTGAATGTAGACTAAAATTAGTCAGTTTAGCATTCCTCTAGAGAAGATGTGGACAGCTACTAACTGAAAGCCAAAAAAAAGCAAAGAAAGAAGGGAAACTGACACAAAGATGTCTCAAAAAAGGAAGGGCAGAGACTAGACCTTTTCATTTGGTGGGTCCAAAGCCTAGGAGGCTTTGCAGGCCTTGAATTCCACTCTGTCCACATAGAAAATATAAGAGAATTTACTCATCAAACATGAATAATGCAAAAAATGGAAGGCCTAAACACACACGTTCTAGCAGGTCTCCTCTGAGACTGTCCAGCATGTCCTGAGACAGGGCATGAAGAGCTGCTTCGACCGTGGGTGACACCATTCACTGGGGTGGGGAGCTGGCTGGAATAAATGGGGAAGGGGAGGGTGCCTGTGGGCAAGAGCATTTCCCGTCCGCCTCCCAGTTACCATCGGCTGAGCTCTGCCGCCATGACATGCATGCTGCCTACCGTGGATGGAGACCTTTGCAAACATGAGGTCAGGGAGAAAGAGACTCGGGATTTGACCTCAGTGGTTTATCTAGGGGTCGAAAGACCAGCTAACCAAGTGGGTAAGGAAGTTGGAGGAGGAGGAGGAGAAATAGACTGGGAAGACGGAGACTGGAAGGGCATACTCAGGCCCACAGGGGAATTGTGGGTAAAATAAAAGGGCAGCAGAAAGAAAGGAGGCGGCGAGCTGGCTGCAGATCAAGGCAGGAAACCCTTCAAAGAGAAATGATGTCAAGCTACACGAGGATTCTTCTGTAGGGGGCGGTACCGAGGGTTAGCTCAGGGTCTCACTTTTGCTAGGCAGGCCTTCTACCACTTGAGCCAGGCCTCTAACCCCTTTCTGCATTGGTTCCTTTGAGGTGGGGTCTGGATCCTTCAACTGGTGCTCCTCCCGGCCCTTATCCCCCCCCCCCCCCCCCACCGTTGTTGTTGTTGATTGCAGGCATGGTTCACATTGCTCAGCCTTTGTGCTTCCCCAGTGGCTGAGATATCAGGCCTGCACTACAGTGCAGGAGTCTCTGGAACTTTTATGCTCAGGCTGGCTTCAAACTGTGATCTCCCAATATCTTCCTCCCAAGTAGCTAAGGCATCAGGTTTGAGTTAATCTGTCCAGCTTAGGATTCTTAAATTTAAAAAAAAAAAAACCTTGCCTTGTCACTTTTGAACTCAGTCATAATAAGTATGCATCAAACTACCTCATTTCAACTTGGCCATGTCCTATCAGTAAATGACCACCTAATGTATAGGAATCTCCATATTGTTTAACTTAATCTAAGGACTAGAAAGAACATAATTGCTAAGGACCAACTACAACAAATACCCCTGGCTCTGGATCAAACTAGTTCTGTAATCAATTAGAAATACGTATAAACTTAATACTTTTGTTTTGAAAGGAACATTTTCATGGGAAAATAGTCTATAGAGAAATTTCTTTAGTCCTTTGATGACTTCAAATAACAACTCTGGTCAAGTTGTAAGGAATTTTCCCTACTTCCTATCACTTAATTTTGCTAGAAATTACTGTCCCCAGAAGTTAAGGAAGTGGCTCCTGGCACCAGAGCCGTGTGGTACCAAAAGAGACCACACCCAGGCAACCCACAGTCCCTGCCTGGTCTTATGAATGTGCAAGTTATTATGCTCTTCTGCATAGATTTTGCATAAAGTCATCTCAATGCTAGCCTAGGAAACTTCAAAGGCCTGTTTCTAGTTTTCAATTCCTGCCAAATGGCCGTGTTAAATGCCATAAAAATGCTTCTTAACTTTCACTTCAGAAAAAAAGTTGAATCGTTATTACTACATAACTCTCACAAAGTTCAATCATATTTTCTGCCATAAAATTCACTATTTTTATTCCTATTTCTGCTCTAAAATTTACCCTTTTTATTTACTTTCCTCAATTTCTCATACATATTTTGAGTAAATTTTATCAGGTCTGGCCTTGGTCACATCGCTTGCATTTCCCTAACTGCACAGTAGATGGCACTGTTGTCTCTGGAGTCACCTTGCTGTGGCTAGGGAAATTTTGTTTTTATTTTTTTTATTTGTTTAATTTCCAGAGCTCATAACCTACTGTCCAAAAGACATCATATGAACTTGGACACAGTGAAATCTCCATGCAAAGAGAGTCTGGCAGAGCAGGGAAGTACAATGCCACCGCCTTTCTCTTTGAGACTGATTCTAAAGCCAACCTAGCAGGGCCTGACATCCGTGATGTAACTGAATTCCAAATGTGGACAGCAGCAGGTGGAAGAGGTCATTTGCCGACCGCCTGCTGGAAGAAGTTAATGGTCTGCAGTCAGCTCCAAACAGGCCTGGCAGTACACCCTTCTTCCTGCCAGTCCACGGCAGCAGGGACAGGCAGGCCAAGGAAGCCGGTTTGTGGGCCCACTGTTCGTTCCCTTGTTAATGGAGGAAAAAAAGATGAAGACTTCAGGGCGCTCTTGATAACCAGGAAACAATAATTACTATTCTGTTGTCCTCTGAAAATCTACTTAAGCATTTAATCATCATTAAGCATTGCCTATACAGCCTGAGCTCTGAGCCAGAGCGCATTTTTCATCAGTAAGTAGTATTAAGGCTCCCCAAACTGCTGAAGTGTAAAATTTTCCTCTCAAAACCTCCTAAATCACTTGAGCTATTTCTGAAGGCAATACTCACTTAAAAAAAAAAAATCCTAAATTAAAGCATGACTAGTTAGACTTAATGCCAATTTATGTGTGTGCCTGTGTGTGTATGTGTGTGAGATAGAGAGACAGAGACACAGAGACAGAGAGAGATAGTAAATATACTGGGGCTTGAACTTGGGGCCTGAGTGCTGGCTCCTAACTTTCATTCAAGGCTGGAGCGTTACCACTTGGTCATACTTCTGATGAGAAAGAATCTCTTGCGAGCTGGGAATGGGGCTTAGTGGTAGAGTGCTTGCCTAGCATGCATGAAGCCCCAGGTTTGATTCCTCAGTGCCACATACAGAAAAGGCTGAAAGGGTACTGTGGCGGCTCAAGAGGCAGAGCGCTAGCCTTGAGCAAAAGAAGGAAGCTCAGGGCAGTGCCCAGGTCCTGAGTTCAAGCCCCAGGACTTATCTTGCCCAGGCTGGCTTTGAACTGTGATCCTCAGCTCTCAGCTTCCTGAGTTAGCTAGGTACAGGTATGAGCCTCTAACCCAGATCACCATCTTTCTTACTGACATGAACAAAACCTCTTACTGTAGCCTCTCACACGCTGCCTCCTTTTCTCTGGTTGAAGGGCTCTCGTGTAACTTACTGGACTGGTATCAGAAGACCTTGTGAGGATTACATATTTCAACACCAAATGTGAACAAGGTCCGTGCATTTGTCAGAACACTTTTCAGGATCTGGTAGCACTGCTGTGGTACATGTTTGCAGGAAGAAAGGAAGCCAGTACAATGGCACCAATTCACTTTTCTTCTTCCATCTATTGAAATACGAATGGTCTAAAATAGACCTGGGCAAGAACAGCTCTATCTCATTTTCACACACGGAGCCCAGTACCCAAAGAAGCACAAAAAATGCCTAAGAAGAAAGAAATTCCTGAAAACAGACTTCATGTTTGGGCTTTGATCCACTGTCCAGTGATTTCACTAGAACCAAACAAAAACCAACCAAAAAAAGCAAGAAAAGCAATTATAAGCTAATTTCCAAGAAAGCGACATATGTTATGTGTTACTGGAAAACTAGGACTCAAAAGCAATTTGAATGATTTTGAGTCTCAGAAAGAAACTTCTCCATTAGTTTACTTCTTGCTGACTTTGTGCAGCGCTTGCTGGGCCTAGATCTTTCCTTCTTTCTTTTTTAGTGTCAGTTGTGGGGCTTGAACTCTGGGTCTGGGCACTGTCCCTCAACTCTTCAGCTCAAGGCTAGCGCTCTACCATTTGATCCACAGCACCGCTTCCGGCTTTTTCTGTTTATGTGGTGCTGAGGAATCGAACCCAGGGTCTCATGCATGTGAGACAAGCACTCTACCACTGAGCCAGCTTCCCAGTCCATCTCAGGGCTGGCAAGGCCCATTCCCAAGGCCCCTCACCTTTTCCTCAAGGGATAATAACACAACCTCTCAGCGCTACTGATGGTGCATGTGTGAGCGGAAATACAAGAAGGAAAAGGCTGAGCTTCTTGTGAGAAACCAATGGTGTCTCAAGTCTA